GACCACACTGTTCTCAATGCATAGAGATATCTATGGGACCAAAACCACGCAACATCCACCTGAAAATAGATCCTGCATCCTTTTGCGTGACAGGTGATATCGCACGCGCGAAGCAAGTTTTAGGTGTGAATTGTCACCATTAACTTGTATGGGCTTTTGTGTTTTGCGCATTATTGCGCGATAAAACGCTTAGACGCTTGTGAACCAGGCACAGTTCTTCAATTATGAATTAACTTTCAAAATGTGCAGTAAAATATTAGTGTTTTTGGTCCTTTTAAATATTCTGTATTATAGCTGGCATATGGATGTAGTCTATTTTCACAGAGGAGTAAAATTTCAAATGTTTAGACTTCATTTTAAATCAGTTCTCAATGTGCACATTCTACATTCCTCTATTTTTAAATTGTTTTTTAATAAAAGATGCCAATCTAAAAAGTTAGCTATCTGATCTGTATAATAATTAGAAAATGGGGAAAGTTAGCAATAATTTTACATTAAAAATATAATAGTAAATGTTTGTATTATTCAAATGCAATAGAAAAAAAAAAAGATTTCTGTTGGAACCTTGAAAAATGTTGTAGCAATTTCAAAATGAATGTCATTCTGTGAATTATTCTATGTATATGCATACCTTCTTATTGTGGTCATCTGTTTTCTATTAACAATAATTCCTGTTAACATTTGTGCATTCTGTATATCTCATGGATTAAGATAAGACCTCAAATATTTTCTAATTTCCTCTGTGATGGAACACTTTTTAAAATGTTTTAAAGCTAAACAAGAATATGTTTGTGCCTTTGTTTCACTAGGGAGGAACAAAACAGCTGTGCAAAGCTTCTGAATTTGACTCTTCATTTACATACATTTTATTTTCTAACAGTAATTGCAATTATTGATCTGACTCTTGGGATCCAGTGACTTTTGCAAACCAATGACCTCATAGCTCCTGTTAAACAGTATTGCATTACATATATCCCATTTGAAAGATAGAGGACCTTTTGTGTGGATTTCTGAAATTTGTAAAATTAACAAAAAAAAATTAAATATTTCTACAGAAACCAAAATTAGAGTTTTCCCTTCCCAGATTCAAAGTATAGATTCCAGATGGCATCTTGAAAAATGTCCATTAAATTGTTCTGCAATATACATTTTTTGCAAACCTGTCACCCAGTCTGCTTTGGGACATTTGTTTAGAATAATGTAAAATATGTTGTTCCTTCAATTTCTGGTTTAAATTTGTACATGGCTAAAAAAAATTTTTAAAGCAGGTTTTTGGTAGAAACTTACTTAATTTATTAAGGAAAAATTAAAGTTATTATATCCCCCAAGTGACTTTACTATGTGCCAAAAATTTAATATAGGAAATAATATTTTAAATTCAGTAGAGTTTCTATGATTTTCTAAAAAAATTCCCAATTTAAAAAGCTTGTTTAAGCCTTAATGTTTTGTTTTTTTTGAATGCCCCAAATCAATTTACCGATCTGTTGCTTGGTTTAGACTATGAAATGCTGAATACTGGCTAGTAGAAAAAAATGCATTCCTTAAGTAAGAACCCTCTAGCTTTTGATGCACATTATATTTCAGGTATATTTCCACACAGGTAGTTAAACATTTTAAGGATAGTCCATGCCTTGCTCATGCTTAACATGCCAATTTTTTTGATAGAAAGAGTCAGAGCCAATTACTCACATATGTTATTTTGAGGAAGGAATGGGTGAGATGAATTTACGTCCATTTTATTTTTCAGTGAAAAGAAACTTCTTTAGTAATATTTCTGTAAATCAGACGGAAAAGAAAAGTTGGCTTTGTCAGTGTTTGAGTCTGTGTCAAACGTTTGTGTATATAGTGGTTCTTAGATTCTTTTGTTGAAGAATCTGGTCCAAGGGTATTGTAATGTCTCCAATCATGGAGAAGGATAGTAAGATGCAATTAATCGCCTTGAAGTATCAATTTCAAAAACGTATTGTTTGGATAAAAAGTTATCACTGGCGTCTTAACTGTAACTATTTTGTCAATCTGGACAATGCCATTTTCCAAGAAAAACCTAAAGCTGTAATTCATATTGTTCCTATAGTTTCGCCTGTCTTAGCTACAAGTACATATCTGTTTTTTTGTCTGTTTTTGCTGTCGGAAAGATTGCAAAATCTCATAATGTATTTTGTCCACTGGGGGGTTTTATCCAGATGTGGGTTTCTAAAAATATGTTTTCATAATAAAAGACCAAATGCTAAATCCCCAATGTCTCATGAAAAGTAAATTGTCTCTATACTTTATTTTCTACAAGTTTGCCTAATTGATGACTGTTACTATAGGAACAACATATATTA